TTGAACATCACAAAATTTGAAGTGGAAGGTTACTGGCGACTTTTAAATGGACTGAGAGATTCCTGGAATGGTCCAAAGGCCATGCCGCAGGGCGGAAGTGCATGAACTGCACCCTCCACCTCCGCATAACCAAAACGAGGAGATAAATAGACAAAGTAGTGCCTACGCCACTCTTAGAAGGAATAACAGCCAAATGTCACGATTGTTAAAAAGTATGTTCGTATAAACACAAATATAGCGTTCTAAGGGGTACTATGGACCCAGAATTGTCGAACATATTTGCGTTTGATCTGCCTTCGAGGTGATTATACTCTTGTTACTCCGCAGTTGTCAGCTGGAAGTGGATGGGACTGAACGAGAAATGAAGCATATTTTTAATAAAAACTACATCTGGAAAACTCTTGTGGAACTGCCACTGGAACTAGCACCTTTGTTTACACGCTTACAAACTGTCTCTGGGTCTACTGACACATTCAGCACGCGTTAAGAAAAGCCTTAGTATTTTCCACACTTAATTCAAGGAATTGTTCGCATTTAGATGGGCAATTTTAAACTTTAAAAAAGCATCAAATGTCAATCATCATCCCCCTGCACGATTATAGAATTGGAAAAGAGGAAACGAAAACAGCATAGAGGAAGTTCAAAGACAATGCTACAATAATTTGACAAAATGGGAAAAAGTAAAGCGTCTTGTGAATTTTGGAAAGATTACATGGCAAGTTCTTTATCACACAGCCTGAGTACGCGTACACTGCTTGGGAGAGGGAGAAGTCACTTTTAAATTTTTCAACTTTGAGAACATGCCTAACATACTAATTCACTATCAACTTCGATGATTGCAGTTGACAAAGGCGATCTGAAACAGCTTCCGCATGCTGTTGGACGACGTGACTTCCCATGTCCATTGTATCAGTTCCCTAAGTTATCTGCGCAGTACTTCGACATTGTTTTTGATGCAAAGACATCAAAATCACTCAGAAAAGACGCTTGAATGTCATAGCACACAAGATTAAAGTTACGTGAAAATCGCTCTTAAAGCAACAATAAAAGGCTTAAAAGCTCTTCATTTGAAGTGTCAAAAAAACTACCTCCAAATTGGTGGTGTAGAAGTTGGGATGGACAGAAGTGTGGAGAACTATGGAGAGTTTGGCGAGGTCATCCGCTAGGAGACATCCCCGAAGGAGGTGGTGCAAAATAGGCTCCTTCGTTCCGAATGGAGGGGAAGCTCTTCCAGAAATGAGGTTCAAGATGAAGTTTACAGTAGAAGTGTTTTTGGATGTCGGATCCTCACCACAATCGCCTTCGATTTCCGAAGAGAGCATCAACTCGATCAAATTAAGTTGACAGTGCTCCATCTTATCTGTAATACAACACAATTATTTTGAACCATTTTCGCATCTGCATAAAGGTACTGTCAAATTGTGAAGGCATGTAAACTGTTTCTCCATATGAAAAGTAAACCCTTTCAGAGTTGGCGAGATGGTTGGATGAATCTAATATCTTGACAAACAAACTTATCCCGTTAAACCCTTCTTCCTTCAAACTTTAAGAGCAAATGCATTGCCTCATGCAAGAAATCACGGAGTTAAGAAAAGAGTCCTGCACACAACTAACGCTAAATAAGAAAAGTCTGAACAAAATTGCAGTTGTAAACAACAAGCTAAACTTTGCCTTAACAAAGGCCTTCAAAGCAAACTTCATTCCACTTCCAACAGCTTCCTGAATATGGAGGACCAATGTAAAATTTGTGTCCATATTTCAATTGCTGTGCATCTTCGCTGTCCATTAAGCATAGAGAGATTGTTTTCACAATGGGATGTCGCGATCAAGCCTGGCAACCCGTTTTGGCAGATGCTCATGGTGCTTCTTAAATGGAACCATAATTTCTGTAAAATTTAGTCATTTGTTCATACAATTCTGCAAACAACCCACACTTGCCTTCATTTTATCAAGCTGGCAACATTAGATCTCATTTGCCAATTCACTATTTTGGCGGTTAAGTAGC